AGAGCATCCAGAGCTTACTGGGAGACAAGTGGGAGACAAGTGGAGACAAGGGTGAAATCATGCGGCCAGGAACACAAGCCCGGAGACAAACTCAAAATCATCCGGCCCCCGTTTAAAAGGAGTAAGAACCCCTCACAGGTAAACCTGTTTGGGGAAAAACCATGAAATCAATGGTGGTTGGAAGCCTAGAGAGCAACCGATGGACCCGCACAGGGGGGGGTGGTTAGAACAATCATGTCTGTGCTTGAGGGGAGAATAGAGGGGTCGGTGGGGACCATTTTGTATACCAATTGGTTGTACACTTGGCATTCGGTGTCTGGATGATCTTTCCTCCGAAAAGGTGGCAACACGCCAGAAGAAAGAAAGACTTGGGCGTGGAGGGTCTGGAGGTGATATGTTCAAAGACGGGTCATTTGTCCGCTGGTCACTCGAAACCAAAACCTCGGTCCACTCCGCTGGACCATGGGATCGAAGACACCACATCCACCGGCCCTGTGGTGAAGAGAAGGGGATGGCGCTCAGTGATCCATATGACGTCATCTCAGTCTGTCCCTTCAAGTCTGGATCATCGGAAGTTGGACTCCTGCCAGCTCCATCGTCAGTTTAATCGCTAAAGCTCTGGGTTGCCGCGCGTCAGGGATGTTTAGATGGTACGTTTGGGAACCCTTTCTTGAAGAACTTTTGTGCTACACCACAGAGCGAAGAAAGATTGATTCAGCTTGGACTCTGCCACGGACTTCGCACAATCAAGTCTAGCAGACGTAGTAGTAACCCCGAAGCGCACAAACAAATAAAATAGACACAGTCAGTATTACACATTGTAAAAAGTATGTACAAGATCCCCCTCCTGAAGCCTCTGTTGAGACAACCTGAGTGGGCTAACAACTCCAATAGGATCAGGGGCCCTGCATATAATATATATATATATATCATTATATATCCTGTCCTTACTTCTCCCTTCTCCCGACACCCAGCCACCTGTGAATGATCAGTTTTTCTAATTGTTGTCCCCTACCTCCGCTGTCCGCCCCCGAATTGTGCTCCTTCCTCGGAAGAAAAACACCTGAGACCGCCGGCCTCGCGGAAGGCTCGAAGTCGGCAGAGGGACTCATAGTCCAACTCGTGTTCCACGATCTTCCACTCCAAGTCGATCCTCATCGAGATCGCCCAACTCGAGCCGATCGACCGACATTGATTCTGACACAGCTAACATCATGGTTTTCTTCTTTTCGCGAGAGAAAAACCACTTGTAGGAGAGTGGCATGCTATAGGCAAGCATGTAGGAGAGCAGCATGGAACGATCGAAATATGTGGTCTGCAATGAATATTCTACGATCATGAAGTCACTCATGAAGTCACTCATGTCTAAATGCATGCTGGAACTATGGCAGTCGCTGGCTTGCCAGTCATCACGTTGGGACCACAACCCCCGAAAGCTTTGGAGGAAGGGGAAAAATGAAAACAAATGAGAAAACTTAAACTGATAGAAACCCCTAAGTCTGGTGTATCAAACCAAAGTACAGTCGGTACAGATGTGAGTGTATATTGCGGTATATCCCATTCCCTGCAACAGTGGATAATGATGGGGCCTGGTTGCAGGCCGTTCCCTGCAACAGGTGGGACACACCGTGGGACACCCCCGGAGTATAGCATGAGGGACACCGACACCTCAGACAGCCTGAAAACACAACGAAGTAAACAGCATGCTTGCTTCAAAGGGAGAACCCTGACTCCAGCTTTGCTCTTCCTTTCTTGCCTGGTCATGGCAGGGCATGACCCATCGGTGTCTGATTGCATTGGACCCTGCGAACTGGTGGGTGAACCATTGAGGTGCCGTTGATGGAAGCGGACCGGCCCTCACCCCTCACTCCCTGCCCCTGCTCATGGCCCCCTGGCTCATTCTCGTCAGCTTGGGGTGCCCAAATCCAGGGCTCCTTCTGGGACCTGCGAAGTGAGATGAAGAGCCAAGTGATGGACATGAGTCCTGGTTGATTAATTGATTGATTGGGTAGTTGGTGATATGGTTGGTTGGTGGGTTGAGTTAGCTTAGCTTCGCTCGGCTCGGCTCGGGTGTGCTGTGCTGTGCTTGCTTCATTCATTGGTGCTATGATTGGTTGATTGATTGGTAATATGATTGGTTGAATGATTGAATGAGTGATTGGTGGATTGATTTATACATATATTTAACTAAGCATGTTTTAAAAAAAAGGGATTGGTGGGCTGCATAGATCAATAGAATATATTTATATTTATACATATTTATGATATATGTAATGTGTCTTGCAAATGTCTCGGCCCAGGTGCGCTGCATGTGGATCTGTTTCTCTGGCTGGTGTTTTTTTTCATCCGTTGAAATATGTTGAAATGGATGGTCTATTTCCTGTTGAGTCACATCCATATGGTGGGATGAATAAATGCATCATTCAACCAAGGGTCTCAAGACTTGGGAGGTCATTTCAAGATTTGGGAGGTCAGGTTGCTCTTCCAGACACACGAAAAGGGTTCCTTAACGGGGTGTTTGCGAGAAAAGCGAACTGACCTTGTCTTGCTAAGATCGGGGTGCGTCAGCTGGAGGAATTAGGACCATTGGCCGTGTTTCCAACGATGCAGGTTAGCTTGCATGATCCAACTGGCATCCCAAAACTGATTGAATGTCACAAAAACGCATCAAACAACAGCCTCTTCCACATGCTCTGCTTCACACCTAGACCCGGGAAGGTCAACATGAAACCTGAAAACAGACCTTTGAACAAACAGACCTGACTAGCTTCCTCCACAAGCCTGTGCTTTCAGATTCCGGTCTCGCCAGAGCCTCACCCGATCGTAAAACCACCAGGCCTCAACCAACCCAGCTGCCGGAGCGCACCTGGGTTCCTCCAGCAGTGCTGCCCCACGTGCTTTGCGGCGGCAGCACAAGCCGGCATTCCAGGGCTTCGACTGGCGCAGACACGCCGGGTGGAGAGGAAACGGAGACCTGGAGAGAGTGAATCCCTCTGGAGCTCACTTGTGCAAGCTTGACGTGGGAAAGATTGCACTTGTTTTTCATTGTTTGTTTTTCCCATGTCCGGCATTCCAAAGCTGCGAGCAACCACTATCAAATGTTGATCAAGCTAGGCATGCTATGCATGTCTGCGACGTCCGCGAGCAAGTTTTACTGGGTTGATATCCTATGAGACCTGCTCAACAAAGTCACATGACCCACAGCTGCTAGCTTCCTCTGTCTACGGCAGGGGGGGAGGGCGAAAGGTTCGCTTTGGGGGTATGGGAACATCATAGTCATACTGCTTCGCTATGCTTCGCTGCTCTTAAGGGCGCTCTCCAAGCTTCAAGGCCTGTGATTCAGGGCAGGCAAAAAGGAGAGGGGTAAAGGTAAAGAAAAGGAAAGGTGGGGCCTTTCCTTAGTCCAACGAAAGTTTCTGCGAGATCCCCCTGTCTTGACCCTGAGATTCCCTGAGATACTTGCTCGGTACACACTAAACAGCCTGGTCAAACCGATCAAGTGAAGGGCCTGTGCATCTGGGTGGCGGGGTCGATCTGTTCTCTGGCCACATCTAGGGATATGGTAACTGACGGAGCTTAGGAAGTGGATGGCATGGCCCCTTGGATAAAGAAAAGTCTTCTACAACCAGGTGGTGCCATCTACTTCGATGGTTACTTCAGACTGTTCATACTGAACTACGAGAGGGAATATACAAGTATCTACTCAACTGGTGGGGAACCGCTCAGGATGGCTCATCAGTGACACGAACCACCAAGAAAGGTGCAGCAAGGCGTGGCAAGGTGTGGCAACACCTGCGACTCATCCACTGATATGTAGGGGTCACCAGCCAGCTGTCGCTAGTCGATGACTTTTGGCCGGAGCGAAGCAAGCTCTCCCGTTGGGTCTTGCAGATTCCAGAAGCTGATCTTTACAAGGACCTAGTGATGTAGTGATACACAAAAATATGAATGACGCCCAAGCCAGGCTACATGCTAAGATCCTAAAATGGATGTTGCATGATGTGGTTGTTTCTTGCAATTGGATCTTAGACAAACACTAATGGACAAACTCACATGTACTCTGACACTTCCCCGCCCAGAAAAGGTAGGCGGATAGCTATCGGATAGCCCGCTTTGACCCAGTCAAAGTGGTGTTGAACATCCGTCATCCGAGACACAGGATGCTATTGTCTGTGAATTGGCAAGATGGTTCAGGAATGATGGCCGCACTAAGAGCCCAGTGTTTGCTCCGCAACTGGCCGGAAGCACCTCCTTGAATTCTCTTGGGCTTTCATTGGCCTGTGCGAGTGCACTTGCCAACGAGAAAAACACAAAACCATGTCTTTCAACCTGTTGTTTCCAAACTGGGATCAAAACAGCTGCTGGGCAGCCCATTGTCTTGTCTTTTTCATTGATTGTTTTTTCTTGGAGGACTTCAAGTTCTCAGAACTCCCCAGCGGATCTAGTGACCACAGACCGCTCGTAAGCAGTGATTCCAAAGACTAAAGCCATCTAAAGCAGACCGACCGAAAGCCTGGTTCCATACGTATATATATATATATACCTAGAACCCATTTGACCTCTGTTTTGATAGGAAAAGACCATATTTTAGGTGGTTGGTGGTCCAAAATAGAGGTCACTCAGGTTCTAGGTATATATATATATATATAGTTGGAACTGGGATCCACTGGGATCCACCGGTGTCCCTCTGTCCTTTGTCGGACCTCCCCACCTGTCGGCCACGCTGGTCGCCACGCTGGTCACGCTGGCTCTGAAGGCCAGTCTCATGAGAGGCGCTGTCCCCGAGTCTGTCGACAAGGTCTATCAAAGTCTTTTTGACAAAAGGATGTCTTTGATCTCGATCTTGAAAACTAACCACTGCGACTTGTCTCTAACTGTGCACCTGACAAGTGAGCCAAGTGTACAGGAACAGCACCGCCATAGTATTCATACGTAGTAGCTTGCTGGCCACCCAACAATTGAAACCTCCGAAAGCCAGAGACATCAAAAACCCACTTGAAGCTTCTTGGGTGATTTGGTGTTTTTTTGCAATTTGAAGCTTCTTGAGAAGGTCGACCCACTCCCGCTTGGCCAAGCTCTGTGCTTGGAAAACCTGGAAGGAAGTACCCATTTTGACACAAACCTTCCAAAATCTTCCAAATCTTCAAACCTCTATAGGCAAATCACCCGAATTTTCTATCATCTTTCGCCACCCACCCATCCCTCACCAAAAACAAAGCCCTCCTTCGTTCGTTCGTTCGCTCACTCCGCGCCTCGTAAAACTGCTCCGCGTTGAGAGACTGCGGGTCCGGCCCGGTTGGAACCGGTTGCGCGAGACTGGTCAAACGAGCGGGGGGGGATGGAGGTTCCAACTGGGGAGGTTCCGACTGGGTGGAGGTTCCGACTGGTTGGGTGAGGGTGTTTCATGGGAGTTCGAAGCGAACCGTTCAGATGCTTAGGGTGGTCGCTGATGCTGAGGTTTGGTGGTCGCCCTTCGGGCGGGGTCTGCGACGGTCGAATCGGATTCATTGGTCGACCGAGCGCTTCGGGCGATGGATTCGGGCGATGGAATGAGTTCTGACAGAGAAGCCATGCAAAGCAGAGCTTTGGGTTGCAGCTTGCAGCATCGCAAAGACTGTTAATCATTGCCCTAGCTCTGTACAGCATCTTGAGTCTATCGGAAGTAGAACAAAACCATCCTGAATGTTGCACCGCCCAGAAACCTGAAAGAACCAAGATTGGATGGCCGAAGATTGCAGTGCGCCAAAGACAAAAAGTGCCGAGATCAAGTGTGAAACATGCCAAGATCAAATGCCCCAGTTGGAGGCTTTTTGCAACCTGGCCCGTGACCCCCTTAAAAGTGCGGATGAACATCTGCAATGGGCAAGTCGTCTCCTTTCCCTGCATTCGATCTGAGATCCCAAGTGAACCAAAACATTTTAAGTGGGCAAAACCAGAATAAAACCAGGTCAAACATGGTAGAACTACGGTAGAACTTTAAAACGTCTGCAAAACCATCGTCCTCTTGAACGAGAGAACCTCTCTCAGCATCTTCCGACCTGCAAACCCCGCCACGGGGGAAGCATGTCCCTCCTCCTGGCAATTCTCAACCTGAGATCAGATTCACCCCGCAGAGTTCAGTCGAACAACCACGATTTGGTGACCGACTTGGCCACTCACTGCTCTGGAAGAGCACTGAGTGCATGGGGTTAAGATAGTTACAGCAGCTACATGTTGATTCTTATTTCTCCCATTGAAGGAAAGCCAACAGCTGCGAGTCGAGAAGCTGCTTGAGCTTCTCATCTTCGCAGCCGAACAGGCTCCAAAAGTTGTAGCAGCTGGGGCTTTCATGATCTGCGGCACTGTAATCCACAGAAGTCGCCATCAAAAGCTCCCACCATCACCCGCCACGCGGCAGCTGGCTGCTCCGCTGGCTGCTTCGCTCAAACAAGACTTGCTCCCCACCGGTGGTCCACTACAGTGCTCTTGCGATGACTCGGCGGTGCTGGAGGGCATTTCATTTCATGAGCGTTTCGGGATAGTCAAAGTCTGTGGCTGAACTAGGATGAGATGATGAGATATGATATGCTTGAGATCAAGTAAATACAGCATACTTATTGCGTAGCGTATTGAAAAACATCACGTGTCAAACGTATTGATTTCCGCAAACCTTTGAGTTCGCCGGCGAGAGAGGGCGAGTCGGGAGTGCTTCAGGGATTCTACTGGGATCTATTGGGATCCTTTTATCAATAAAACAGCATAAACCCCTGCAGATAGAACACTGTTTGCCCATCCTGGTAGGTGGCGATACTAAATCAACAGTCAACATTTTACTGATGCAAGAGATCTGGAAAAAAAAAAAAGAAACTCATGCAGTTCCTGTACGGTGTTGGACTGGGATCTTCTCAGTTCCTGAACCCACCCGAAGTACCACCAAAGAAGTGGCCGTCGGCATCGGCATCCGACGATGAAATCGGTTGGAGCAAAAAAAAATGGATCCCCGTTGGTTTGTCTGTGTTTCTTTTCTCTCTCTCTCTCTCTCTTTTTGCTTTTGGGTGTCTATGTTCTTCCATTTGTGTGCAGTCAGCGTAAAGTTTCTGGGGATGTTGGGACGTGGACCAACATGTTTTGGTCAGGTTCTTCCACCAAAAAGTAGACACAGGCTGAGGTGGGCAGTGACATCGGGGCTTCAGGGGGGCGGTGACAACAGTGCTTACATTGACTGATACTGGCGAACGATGGCACAGCTCTAGCCCGGCTCAAAACTTCTTTGTCGTTTAAGGAGTTGCAGTCTCCGAAACCAGTGAACTTTGCTCTCCCTTCTGGTCACGAGTCGTGCCTGCATAGCTATGTTGCCCCTCTTCGCACAGTGAACTGGGACCACCAAGTGAGTGCTATCAGTCGCTGTCAAGTGCGGGAACCTTCGGGATCTCCTAAATCTTCAGTGTGGGCAAACATCAGCGAACTATCACTTTTTCCCATATCTTTTCTCACCGATTCTCATCCACCATCAGACAGCCCCTGGTCTCAGCCCCTCCCCATCCGATCACTCTCTCCCCATCGTCTAACCGCTCTTTTTGCTTTCCGGTCTCGACTCCTGGGACCCGCCCGAACACGAGGTCGATTTTAGCGGTATTTCCCTTTTTGCGGGGAGGTTCCCCCCCAAACTGCAGATATAGTCTTATAAGTTATATGGTAATGATAAGATTATATCATAATGAATCAATCTTATCATCTTAATCATCTTAATCATATGTCATATATATTATATAGTTATATAATCAATATAATCCATGTATGAATTCCCCTCTCCCGCTACACCGGTCGCAAAGTCTCTTACCCCAAAAATGGGTCCTCCCATATCCTCCCATCCTTCCAAAATCTTCCCTGCTGTTCCGTCCGAGGACGGCTCGAAAAACGCTGCGGAGAGTTCGATCGAATCGATCCCTGGGAAAGAGTTCGGTTCACGACATGTAACTCCACCTTGTTCTTGGTTTGCGTGGGCAAAGGAATCCCAACAAACTAAAGGTGACCTGCTGCACGGGTCCGAAAAGAACCACCATAAAGTCATCCTTTCTCTTCCACTCCTAACTGCGTCATACCGGGAACAATCTGAATCCAAAGTGACCGACTCCTTGCCCCTCTCCGGCCATTTGTGCCAGTGGTCGGCAAAAGACAAACCTCTTGTCGACATCACCCCTCCTTTTTCGGCCTTCAAATGGAGAGTGTAAAAGGTGTAGCTGTGGACCCAAAAAGAAAGTAAAGAGGGGGGAGCCGTTGGCTTCAGCATCTTGGATCACGTTCTTTTGAGGTGATGGATTTCAAGCCATAAAGTCAAACACCTTGAAGCAGCAGACCTTGAAGCCTCGAAGCATCTTTGAACCTTTTGGAATCCCTTCAGCATTCAAAACGTCGCTCAAACTCCGGCTCGTACCTTCTCCAAAAAATGACACACTACTTAAGTGACTCCTACGGTCCTCCATTTCCTCCTCGAAGCTGCAAGGTGCCTGGAAAGCTGAAGTACGACCCGAGTTCCCCGCGGCGAGCGGTCCCTCGCTCGGCGAGAAGCGATTTCGCTTGCGCGAACGTGACGAAGGTCTCGGGGCACCGCTCTCTCATGGTGGAAAATGCTCGGGGAAGATGGTGAAGTCCGAATGAATTACCCTCCAACCACCATGGTGAAGTGGACGTTCGTCCCGAGTGCCGATGACCATGAAATCCTCTGACTCTACAAGGGGGGGTGCCATCCACGAAACCATGTTTGTTGCAGGGAGGTTTTCCCTCCGACCACCGCTCTGGTGAAAAACGAGTCGCTCGGTTGGGTTCCAACTCCGACCGAAAGACGGTGGACATGAGACGTCATGCTGTCTCCGGGATCTATACCTGGACCCCTCGTGACAGGGGTGCTTCCTGGTGACGTTCGGCACCCAGAAACCACCAGAGTCCCAAGTCCCACCTGGAGGCTGCTGAGCTAGAGCTCCCCGAGCTCCGTCTTTGTTCGATTCGCGGACGAAGAACCCAACGGCGCCGGACCTACATCAACGTGTCGAACGCATCACCCGGATTGGATCGATCCAGGTGCCAACATCGATCCAGGTCGGGACCTGGACCCTCGAAGGCGTCGAAAGCCCGATGACACAGTGATAACCACCCAGGTGCGCTACCTGTTCGGGTTCCGAAAAGAAAAAAAGAAGGTACTGATTGGAAGCTCCTGGGAGTGGGAGATCCCGTAACCCAACGTACAATTCCGGAGGCTTCTTCTCCACAACCTCTGATCGACGATCGGATCACCTTGACCGAGATTGGAGACCTTCACTAGCAGGGGTTCAAAAAGAAGTTGTTTTGGGATACACATATCTGGATTGCAAAGACTTGCAGACTTCATATGATCCAAAAACCTACAAGCCACTGGTCCGAGACCGTTGGTAACTACGTAGATTGGGTGCTTCTCCAATTCTCAAAGATCTTGGGTTAGATCCTTCCTCCAGCTCGCCTGCCGGCGGGTTTGATCCCGGCTCGCCTCCAAGATGGTGTCCTCGAAAGACTCAAAGGGCAACACCTCGAAAAGTGCCAGTTGTGCCATGACCCGACCCAGGCACCTACATCACAGTGTCTCCAATCACCGTACCTCAGAGGATGGACCACGGCCAGCTGTTTTCTTCCCATCTGATCCCAGCCATGATTAGGTGGTATCGATCCATATCGCTTGTTGGATCCCAATACACCGGACCAGTTAGCTGGTGATAGATAAGCATCACTTCAGTTCCGACCGAAAACCCAGCGGCTTCTAGGAGCAATCCCCCCCACAGCGACACTGGGGTTCTCGATTAGGGCACCTGGCCCTCGTCACGATCTGAACATCGCATGGGAAAGCGTAGGGTTCCGAAACACACAGAACTTGCTTCAGGATTGGAACTCTCCAGCGCTGAGCATCGAGTTAGTGACTCGTGCATCTCTTCTGCTTCAAGTATATATAGTACCCAGAACAAAATATGGGACCTCACAACTGCTCGTCTCACCTGAAACCAGGAACCGAGGAACTGAGGAACTCTTCGCCGCCGACCACGTGGCGCAACCGACCGGGAACCTCCGGCTGAACCAGAATGGGTGCCCCCTGAGAAGGTCCATTACGTCTACCGTGGACGCGTTTTTGTCACACCAAAAAGCGCACCCCCTTGGTATTGTACCGGCTTTTTGTGTATAGGGCCATGCTTCCCTGCCCCTTCGTGTTTAACCGAATAGAGGAAGCTTATAGTATCATGCAATATTGTATAATAATAAGATAGAAGAAACAAAACAATAATAATATTTGATAGTATTGAATTTGCATATATATATATATATACATTGAGTTTAATATTCAGATCAATATATTAAGTACGTATATAGTGTGCATTTGTGCGCCGCACGAACGCAGGAGCACTGTGGAAGAGGAACGGACCGCAGGACAACGAAGGACCACGAAGGACCGGGCGGGGAACCTCTGACAGCTGTGGAGATGTAGAACCCGAAAGACCTGGTTTATTTAGTTAAAGACCAGGAGTCACATGTCGGGGGCGATGTTTTTTTAGTCCCTAGAAGTGGACCACGGGTCAGCGCCCCAGGGGTCAGGGACTGAGCTCATTTGACTGGAGATCATGCAAAGACCTCCGACCTCCATTGTCACTTTCACTGGGACCAGGTTTTACTGGGGCAGACTGGACCAGGTTTAGACCAGATAGTTCAAGCCTGAAGGAAGTGCCATAGAATCCAGGTCTTGGGGTTGTCATCACCCAGATGCTCCCTTCACAGTCCAGAACAGCCCGTTCCTGGTCCCTCAAAACCTATAGGGATTAGTGAGAAACCCCAGACCTTTTGAGAAGATTCAGGTCCGACCCCGACCCCTGATGAGGGTTCCGCGTCTGGACCAGAGTCTACGCACCAAAGTGTTTTCTTATGGTTTCTTGGTGGAAGAGATTCCTCTGCAAAGGACCACGCGGAACCACGGAACGGGCCGGGTATGAGGGCAATGGTCCGTCTGTTACGGACCGTTCGGGGTCCATTCGGGGGGGAGAGGAATCTCTGCCATCCACCTGTGTCTCTGCGGCATCGGCTTCATGTGTGGATGGAGAGTTGATGGCACACTCCCACAGTGGTGGTCGGAACATGCACCCCCATTTCAAAACAAGAACGGTGGATTGAGAGTACATGGCACAATCCCCAATGTCAGTTACAGAAAATATCCATGGGTGCCAGTGCCATCGAACCTCTGAAACCACTGCAACATGGCAAGGGGGTTATGCCATACAGTCGTCGGCTCCCAAGAGTCTTTCCCTCAAGAAGCCCAACACATTCCTTCGGCTGGGCTCGCGACCAGCTGATGCGAGTGGAGGAACATGCCTGGATCATCCACGAATGAAAGGTTTTCTTGTGTTTCTTCTGGTTCTTGTTCTTGTACTTCTTCTTGTTCTTGTTCTTGTTCTTG